TATGAATGTCTAGAAGTGGCGGTGGTCGGCTTTGCTTGGCCTCCAGTAGCAATGAAAAGTACTTTTTGTACGAAACTTCATGAATATTCCATAAGCGTCTTCTTGCCCTGCTTTTTCACCAGTTCAACAATCTAGTCAGCTTTGTCTTAGTTGTAAAACTGGCCTATTTTCCATTTAAGATTTTTGTGATTACTATCATATGCCACTGTAAGAGCCTTCGGAGTACGCAGCAAAGTTACAATTTTTAGAAATGAATCGAAAGGAGACTGTGACCATATTAGAGGTGACAACATCTTGGTCTTCATATATTCTATTACAATTTTTACTTTCAAAATTTTTTATCTCTTGCGTTGCCCACTTCCTAGGCCATTTTTTGTTCACGGTAGATTTCAATTATCTTATTCAACTTTAGCTTCAGTTTGGTGTAAGCTTCCAATTTGAAGGACGAAATTTGCGTTAGCATTTTCCAAAGAATTTATTTTTAGCCCCATGCTTCTCGTCTTCGGTGCATTAATCTGTTTCTTATAGCGCAAATCTTTTGTGGTCACAGACTTTTATCAAACCAGGTTCTCTTTAGAAGGCCACACATTCTTTGACGTTCTCTCTGGCTTTTAGTTAGGTCACTCGACGTTAGAATGCCCTATCATATACTACACTGAATCGAAGATGGCATCTCCAGAGTGACGTTTGAGTCCATAATGGTCTTTTACAAAATGCCTTTTGTGGCTCGATCAAATTGCCCTTTTGTATTTGTTCTGAGCCTCATTTTTATAATTGGTTGAAAGCTTTTGGAAATCTCTAGAATTTCATTTCATTTAGTTACCTTGTATTCATTAAATGTTGAAAATAACTGCTATTTACCTATCAATTCACTTTCCTAATACAATGGTTAGTTTTGTTATATTATGTACGCTTCCATGGCCCAACTCCTTTTGACACAGGCCCTATGAGAATATCACTAAACTTCATTCTTTATTTCACGCTGGCCAATCAAAGCTAGTATTTATCATATTTTGTTAAGGCGATGAAGGACTGATAGTTGAATTTTTCCACAAATGAATTTCACATAGCCTTGATTACCAAAAAGTATTCTCATCCAAGCCACAGTAAACTACTGTTTTGACCTCGCCTAGGTTTCTTCAGCACTCCTAGCGGGATTCCAACCGCAGTACTATAGTGTATAATCTCTACATGTTAACCACTACGATACACTGCAACGACTGTACTTGGATCAAAGAGCAAATGCGAATTTCAATCATGTGTAATGCATTTATGAGCTAATGAAGTGTAAGAGTTAGAGAAAATTTTAGTTTTTAATGCTTTCCATGAGTTTACTTTATAATTGCGTTGGGCCGATTTGTATTTCATGTGAATAAATGTAATAAGATGCGTAGATCGATCTCACAAAAATAAAATAATATAAGTGTTTTGATCTTTTATAGTTTAATTCTACTGGGACATTTAGATTAACCCAATCTTCTCTCGATCTCGATGGGAACGTGCTGACTTCTCATTTGTTACACCACTTAACAGAAATCATAAGATCATCACATTTTGAGGAAAACTTTAAGCCAGCAATGAATCAAGAAAACTAAGAACTTGGTCAGCCTAGGTGACTCAATATGCTTTAAGGACTGTTAAATAATTTCTCCCACAATGAGATAAGTAGGCAAATGAATTTCGATTATATGAGATGTATTCACCCTATTTCCTTTAAGGTGATGTAAGACTGATAGTAGAAATTTACCACAATGATATGAGTATAGCTAACGTTTCCATTGGATTTCACATAACCTTGCTTTCCCATAAGTTATTCTAATCGCGGCTGGAATGGAATGCAGTTTCGATTTCGCCTTGGCCTCATCATTATCCCCTGCGATAGTCGATCCGTAATAGTGCTTCGTATAATCTCGACACTCCTCTAGATTAGTTTTTTCACTCATTATAACGATGGCCTCTCGAATTTTGCATTTCATTATATTTTTATTAGTCTCTCTGGCAATGTGGCTAAGTGGTTAACGTGTCAAGCTCACCTGCTGCACTGTCACGGTTCGACTCCTGCTGGGAGTGTTGATAAGACCTAGGCAAGGTCGAACCTGCATTCCATCCTGGATGAGAACAACTTTTGGGAAAGCAAGGCTATGTGAAATTAAATGTAAACGTCAACTCTACTTATATCGTAGTGGAAAAATTAAACTATCATCCTTGATCACATTAAACGAAATAGGATGAATACATCTCATATAACTGATTTACTGGTAGTCTTGAAACTTAACCTTGCCTCCCAAAGGGCTTTCATATTTAGAGTGGATTGCAGTTTTTACCCCTCTTAGGTCTCATCAGCATCATTTGCAAAAAGTACTAAAAGTCTTGAAATCTAATAAAATCGAATTCAAGAAGACCAACCGGCTAATCCCCACGTGCCATATATTAAACAACAAAAATTGGCACATGAGGGGAATATAATCATTTTTAGTTTTTATGTTCAGATTTTCGGGACTACCAGTACATCGCATATATAATGATTTGTTTTTTTAACATCTACATGTCCGTTCATGGGCATGTACATGCGCATGTGAGCTTACGGGCATGGGACTACCAGTTATAGCTCCAGTTGATTATAAGTAAGCATAAAATCTGACTTAAGACATAAATATTTTAATGACACACCAACTGAGTAACCGTTCTATATGCGCCGTTTTACATACATACTTAAGTTAATTATCCAAACATTAGTAGATCTATGAGTTGTATTCACCCTATTTCGTTTAAGGAAATGAAGAGTTGGTAGTTGCTTTTTCCCACAATGGTATGATTAAAGCTGACGTTTCCATTTAATTTCATATAGACATGCCTTCATAAAATGTGTTCTCATTCAGGGTGGATTGCAGTTTCGACCTTGCATAAGTCTTATCAACACCCCAGGCAGGAGTCGAACCATCTCAATGCAGCGTGTAAGCTCGACACATTAACCACTTTGCCACTTTGCCACGAGTGCCCTTGAGTCACAGGGCAGATTTGAATTGCAAGGAATTTCAGGCACTTTCCACATCACATTCTGTGCTGGGATTGTCGATGAAGCAAACTTATATTTGCTATAGCAATCGACGACATTACTTTTTCCGTAAGTGAATAGGTTTTCGAGACTACCAGTAAATCAGATATATGAGCTGTGTTTACCATGTTTCGTTGATGAGGAATTCGATGATTTGGTTGGCTGTTATATGCTCGTTCTATATTTCAAATCATAGAATGCCTCATTAAGATCTCAAAATGGGGTATAACGAGTTAGTAGCATCTCAGTTGGTCATCTTTCTTGGCTTACTGATTTTGGTGATTGTTCGTGAATAATGCTTTCTAGCTCTGACGTTCCCCGTCACATGACGGAAGAAGGTTCGGCACAGAGTCATCGAGGTTGAAGGACGATGAGCCGATGTCTACTTCCCATGATTCAACAGGCAAAAGTCCAAGGCATTCCTCCTTAGGGATCCGATGAGACCAGTCTATGAATCCCTTCCATCCACCTTCTCAAACGAAATGAAAGGTATGCCAGTATCTATCTATTTATAAACAGACAATAAAAGCCTGACGCCTCACCGGGCCTCCCTTTTGAATCAGCTAGATGATGGTGTGCAAAGCTATGCAAGGGTATTTTAAGTTGAAAACATTCTGGCTAAACCACAACGGTCTTTTCCCCCACTTCTTTCACTTTTTCCTCTGATCTGCTATGTTTTAATTCTGCTATCCCTCGTCTCCTTAAATAATTTTCTTTCTTTTCTTAGCCCTATACTATGCTTTAGCAGGTTCTATTTAGGAAACTTGGTGACACGACTTTTCCTTTTATTCACCCCGGGAAATCCAACGTTACGTCACTTAGCCGAAAACAAGAGTTTATTTTTAGTAACAGCCTTGATCTCAGCAAACTCATTCTTTTATTTTCAATTCATTTATTTCGTATTTAACGATGGTCATCTCGGCTTGCGGTAGTTGATCAAAGGCCTGATAATTGAACTGCCTACAGTAAAATGATTAGAAGGCCTTTGACTTTCATCCATCTTTTCTTACCAAAAGGCTTTCTCGTCCAGGTTTAACTCTAGTCTCTGCCTCGCCTGAGTCTCATCAACATCCCTAACGGAATTCGAAATTGATTCATTGCCGTTAGTCGGAGACATGTCACCACCCGAGTTCATAGCCCAGCCTTTTTTCGCATAATGAATTCTAAAGGAAGTATTCTTCTTTAGTTATACTTTCGAATATCACTTCTTCCTTATTCCCTTTAGTTTAACGACTAATTAAATTGGAATTGCTAATATTCCATCATTACCTTATCAGTAAATGTGTTGGTTAGCTTGATTATATTTTTTTATTATCTGGTCACATTTGAGTTTCCATTCCCCATACCTTGCATTTTTCCTTATTATACAAGACCTTGCTATTTAAAAACTTTGTCTATCACATCTTTTTCGATGTATTCGTAAATCTCATGCTCCTTAAGTCGCTAATTGGAGTAATTTAATTTAAATTATTTAGTAGCTTTCAGCTCGACTATTATTCTCCGTGCATGGTTCTTTAGTTCTGCTACAATGTTTCTATTTGCACTGTGTCTGTGCATACCTCCATTGAGTTTCTTTTCTGTTAATCACTAAAACTTGCCCTTTGACAAATCGGCGTGAGCTTAATCTAATGCGTTCACGGCTGCGGGGTTGCTGTAGGTCCTCAGCTGCTTCTTTGATTTTGTTACCTTATTTCTCACACACCCTAGCATCTTGACGCATTTTGCTTTTACAAATACTAAATTTTGTTTGGTTATGGATGATTCTTCTGGTAAGTGATATGTTTAACTCTCTTTTCGATCTTTCACATATTTCCTCTCCGCAACCTCCTCCAAATCACCAGTTCGTGCCTTTCCGCAACTTTCACCACCTTCAATCGATGAATGTGACCAAGCGACAGTTGGCCAAGGCCGTATTGGCCGAGATCCCCGACCAGCTCTGCTCGTATATGCGCTCCAAGGGCTACCTGCCCGGTTCGCACAAGCGAATTGAGCCGCCTCCTCTCGCTCCTGTTGCCCGTCGTTTGAGCGCTCAATCTGGCCAAACACAACAGCACAGCATTGCAACTGCCCCAACTGCTTCCCAATCCAGAAATAACAACCGCCAAACGGGTCCAGTACATCCAATTAATGAAGAGTTGCCTAGCCATTCAGACCAGTACTGTTATCCCCAGAGCAACGCTGGGGGTCGGATGAACGGTAGCAACAGCGGAGGTGGTGGGCCCTCTGGACCTCCGGGAGATTCTTTGCTGTCTTCATTCCGTCAGCTACCCTCATCTTCTCCACCATATCCGGTTGACGAGGTCACACCATCCAACGGCGATCGTCAGTTCCCGTTGTTACCGGTTTAGGGCCACTAAACGGATGGATATCCTTATGCTCTCACTGATTCCACCCTAACGGTTCTATTACTCATCTCTGCTATTTTTTCCTCTTGCCACACGCTTCTGAACTCATCTTATATGATCTATCGGTTTTTTATAAAGCGCATCTTCGAATCTGCCTGTACTACGAAGCTCTGCATAGGTGTTCCTCTTTTTATTTCCTTTATTTTTTGGCTTTCTTCCTATTAATCGTCTCCATTCTCCTTATGTATGCTCTTATACATACATACATACATACATACATACATACATACATACATACATACATACATACATACATACATACATATATATATACATACATACAAACAAACAAACAAACAAACAAACATACATACATACATACATACATACATACATACATTATGCATACATACATACATACATACATACATACATACATACATACATACAAAGATACATACATACATATATACATACATACATACATACATACATACATACATACATACATATATACATACAT